TGCTGGAGTACTGGGGTCGTCGTTGGGGTAGTCAAATTTTCCAGAAGTCTGGGCGGACAGTTGTTGAACCATTCCTATTACACGTATTTGCAGTTGATTCGATAAACAAAGCTTCCATTGTTGTCAATCTCTCCCTTCACCCTGTCCAATTAGATTTTAAAACTGTCATCCTATCCCATCCTATCCTATTGTATGGCTGTGTGTAATTGCATGCAATGAGTGCTATCTTCGGCTGAACTTTTCTCTAGATTTCTTATCTAACTCAGGTCAACTAATCTAAATTTTGCTAGGTTTTTATGCTCGGCTAGTCTGACTATGATTATGAACAATAAACTTCGTTTGAAACGTCATCCAGTAAATAATACTGTTTCACTGTGTGATACATCTAATAAGCAAACTAATATGGAATTACTTACTACCACAGTTTTTTTTCCTTCACGTTCCCAATGGAACATAGGGCCTCAAGCTAGTGGCTTGAAGTTTCTGTAGCAGTGTTTATTTTTACAGGATGGGGTTGCTAGCCTCATACCCAACCTTTCCTCTTTACCAGTCTCATTACTGGTTTGGTGAGGTAAAGGAGTGCATGGTCGGCAAGCGTCTTAAGCGCTTTGCCACCGACGCATTACTACCACAGTGCCCACGTTTTATACATATACTAAGTGTAGTACATTTGCCAGGGTAACCACTGAGCGTACCCAACTTCCCAGCGCCAAAGAGTAAACTCAACCAGTCAGTGGTAATACGAAGTAAACGGAATGCGGCAGGTGATCCAGTATATCACACCATCCTACTGACATATTTCCAATAGTTATCTTTTATTAAATTTCCACTCCTTTATATACTTAGAAACGAGGTTGATTGAAGTTTTAGCCAGCTAGATGATGTGATATACCAAAACTTTGTGATTCCTAGTGCAAAAAAGGGTAATCTGTACCTACAGTCCAAGGGGGAAGTAATGTTCCTTAGTGAACTGGAACCCTTTTCGTCCTTAAGTCATTCAACTCACTGAATTCGACCTTGCTCAGCAAAAAGACTTTGATCAGCATTACAAAATTATTAGGCAATTTGGTTATCTTTTGTCATCCTTTTGTCTACTTAAAGGTCTTCCATCTTGTTTTCTATGCGAAATGAAGGAAGGAAATTACAGTTCATATTTCATCAACAGATCGACACTTATACAGGTTTTGACTGACTATCCAACCACGAAATTCGGTCATTAGCAATTCAAAATACGTTTCAGTCTGTAAACTTCTATTCTTTGTGTATCAAAGGAATTTGCAATGCTGAAATGATTTTTTAATGACACAGAAAAACTTCAAAATTTCTTTTGTGAAGCAAACATTCTTTCAGGTTAACCAAGATAAGCACATTGAAAGAATTTTAGCATTCTCAGTTAGGTATACTGATGTCATATATGATATTGTAGCAGAGATTATGAAACGTCTTCTATGAAAATTGTTATGATGGTCTGCAATTAGTAGTGTTCTCTGGGCTGGTTCGTTTAGTTGCGGAGCTTTCGTCGTCCTTCTGGACAACATCCCCTTTCAGCTCAATTTCTAGCATAAACTGAACTGATTTAAATTTTCCATGAGTGATAGAATTGCGTCTCCCGGTAACCATCTTTCTATTGACTTGGATTTTAAACTTTCTTGTCACATGATTTACTTTTTATTAGTTGGTATATTTGGTCTATATTAACGTGTTTGTTAATTGCATATTCGTTTGAGTACCAGGCTTCTAGGAATTCCCTGACTGCACTTTTCGTGTTTCCTGTGTCTAAGATTTCGACATTATCCAAATCAAACTGATGTCCATCATTGTCTATATGCATTAATATGAAGGAGTATATGTCATGTCTTTTGACAACTGATTTGTGTTCCTGGATTCTGATTCGAAGGGAACGCCCACTTTGGCCGATGTAATCCCTGTTACAGTTCATACAATTTATTTTGTAAATGGTATTATTCTTATCTCCTTTTTCTGTTAAATATTTCAGTTTACATAATATCGAATTATGCGATTTGACTGGCTTGTGTGCTATATCTATACCAAACGGTTTCATTATCCTAGCCATTATTTCAGAGATATTTCTGATGTATGGTAGGATTAATTTTGTTTTGGTCTTTGATGAGGGTTCTTTGTTGGTGTTTTGATTCGACTTTAAACACTTCTTGATGAAATTTTGTGGATAACCATTTTTTTGAAGACCATTTGTAAGTATTTTTCTTCTATTCTTTTCAACTCTGGAGTGTTACGATGGGTCTGAATTCTTTCAAACAATGTCTGCACACAGTTTCCTTTGTGAGTAATTGGATTATTTCTAGTATAGTTGAGTATTTGATCTGTGTGCGTTGATTTTCTATATAGTTGTGTTTCTAAATTTCCTGTATTGGTTCTCCTGATCAAGACATCTAAAAATGGGATTTTGTTATCTAACTGTTCTTCTTCTCTCGTGGTGAATTTGATGTCTTCAAATATGCTGTTTATTAATTTATGGGTATATTCTAAATCATTTCTCTTAATTATTACAAATGTACCATCAAAGTAACGTACCTGTCCAGATTTTTGGTTTAATTATAGGTAGAGCTATTAATTCTCATCTTTGCATGACGGCTTCAGCTATCAATCCTGATATGGGCGATCCCATCGATGTTCCTTTTATCTGATCGTATATTTGAGTATTGAATTGGAAGTATGTTGTTGTAAGGCATAATTTTATGAGTTCTATCCAAGTTAAACATTGCGTTTTTATGTTTTTATCACTATAGAGTAATTGTTTCATAGCTGTTGCTGCTAGTTTTGAACTAATTGAAGTATATAATGCTGTGGCATCAAAGGACACCATTGCTTTTTGTCATCTACTTGAATGTTTTTGATTTTCTCTAAAAATTGGATTGACGAATTGATAGAATGGTTGCATGATTCTGTTAGGTAATTTAATTTCCTGAAATGTTCTTTAGATAAATCATATGTTATTGTTCCTGGCAGCGAAACGATTGGTCGTAAGGGAATGTTTGGTTTGTGTAGTTCTGGTCTACCATAGAATCGAGGTAAAATAGGTCCGTTAGATTTCATTCGCCATTGATCTTGTTTTGTAATTTCTTCTGATTTCGTTAGTTTATTTAACGTTGTTTGATTTAGTTATCTAATGTTTGTATAGGGTTTTTTTGTCAACTGTTGATATACATTATTATCTTTGAGTAAATCCTCTGCTTTCTTTATGCAGTCTTCTGTGTCTAAGATTACTGTTGTTCTTTCTTTATCAGCCGGTAGAATAACAATATATCTTTTCTCTTCTTCAGTTTCTTCAATGCATTTTGCTCTTCAGTTGTAATTTGACTGTTATGTCTTTTCTTGTTTGCTGACCACCGGCTCATTTCTTTTCACTTTCCAGTTAATCTGTGAATACTTGTCAAGAAAAGTAGTATTTCGAAGGAGAGTTGAATGTGCATCTATAATTGTAACTGCTCCTAAAGAACTGGTTGTATAATCCACATGTAATAATAATAATAATAACTTTATTCTGGACAGTATTTATATAATGTACAGCACTTTCACAGGAGTTTATTACATGATATTTTCCCTTTGTACAATATCTTCGAGTAAAGTATTAATTGACAGTATACCCTGTGACACAATGCTCTCTGAGCTGAAGCATTCCATTACGATATATCTGCCTTGTCTCCGTTAAGAAATCTACGATATCGATCTAGTTGAAAGCCAACTGTGAGATGTTCAGAAGTACACTTTGAGAGCTGAGGACATAACTGAAGAACAGTTATCTCCTGTATTGGAACTCGCTGCCATCCACAATCAGGCCATTCCTCAAGTTTAGTAAGAACTTTGGAATCAGAATTTTGTTGACATTTCAAATACAAACAAGAGTAGATATTACCATCGGAGGTCATATTTTAATCAGTTAAAACAAAGCGAACGAATGAAATATATGCAATAGAGATGTGGAAGTTTTTGGTAGCCCAGGTTTTAATCAGGCCGCTTTCCATGAGTGCCTCACTGAACGTTACTCTTCAAAGCACTTTAGTTTGAGAACCATTGGAAAACCTGGGAGTACTGGGCAGCTGTTTCGTCCTAGTTTGGGACTCTTAAGCAGTATACACCCACCAGGATTTGAACCCGGTGGATTGGATCCTAGTGCTTCAATGGTCTGCGAGCTCGCCTTCTAACCAGAAGGTCCAGGGTTCAAATCCCGGTGAGTGCGTACTGCTGAAGAGTCCCAAACTAGGATGAAACAGTTGTCCAATACTCAGTTTTTCCAATGGTTCTCTAACTTATGTCAGGTCATGATGAAATCCTGTAACTTTCTATCCTTTGTTAGGCGTCCATTCTTCTCATAAGCTTCATCGCCTTTTTGCACCAATACACAATTCCTCCTCAGATCTGCAGGCACCTCTCTGTATTCTGGGGAAATTGATTTTAAATGCCATAAGTGTTAGTTATTTCATTTGTATTAACATTGTAGCATACGATATATATATATATATATATACGACTGCTGGGCTGTTATTTTCGTGTAGTCATCTTACAGATGTAGGTTCACATAAGGCGGCTTCTAAAGCAACTTGTATAGTTTAAAGTCATCCTTCAGACACTGTGTTATTGAAGTAGTCCCCCCCCCCATTTATCAGTATTAGACCCTTGTATGTTTATGGTAAAAACGAATAAAGCTGTACAACTTTTTTGAAATGCAGGATTTGTCTTGGTGAGATGTTCTTCCGAATAATCTGCTTATACCTGTAAGATACGCCTCTATTGCCTGATAGATATATCTAATTTAGGAATGCATTGAGTCTCGAACACTCCTTAAGAGAATACACAGAGTCTTTACATTCTTTTTCTTAAAACAAATTCATTTATCACTGTTGAATTCTAGGCGATATGATTGATTTCATTGTATGGAGGATTTCATCATGAGCTGACATCAATTAGAGAACCACTGGAAAACCTGCAGGAAGTACTGGACAGCTGTTTCCCCTGTCCCAACCGGCCGCTACGGTGGTGTAGCGGTTATCATAGCTGCCTTCCAAGCAGTCAATCCTGGTTTCGACTCCCGGCGGTCGCAAGAGGCTTTCTCTAATTGATGTCATCTCATGATGAAATCCTCCATACCATCAAAAACAAAATCCCTACAAAATCAATACTTGAAAATGATTGATTTCGATACAGAAAAGTTATTTTACTCTGTACTAACTGGCTTCACATATGCAACACTCAGATAGTCGGATCAACTTGCAGGTCAACTTTATTCGGATGAAAGTTTTATTATGCGAAAAACACAAAACAACAACAAAAAACAAATACAAAACAAAATCACTCAACAACTTGCATGTATGAAATAAGATTTATCTTCTCACGGACAATCGACACATGGTGTCATACACACACACACACACACACAATCACTACAAAAACAAACGACATAGAATAATGATGAAATGAAATAAAAGAAATTCAAAATAGTCCCCTTTTTCTTCTGTCTACATATATCACTGTGTAGAATAGTTTTTGGATGGAGTTTTGCTACTTTAGGAGCTTTTTTGGGTGGAAGGGGGTACCTCTTTTCGTGTGTATAACAAATTATCAATGAAAGTTGAATAGTGTTCACATTGATGATGATGATATGATGACTGACAAATGACAATAATACGATCAAAAGTAACAGTTGATTTATTTCTCTTTTCTGGAAAGACAAATGCGAGATATAAAATATTCCCTCTTAAGATTAAAGAAATAAATGCTTTAATAGGAAAGGAAATTTATCTGTGGGTACTTACACATACTGACAGACACATACACGCACACACACACACACAAATGCACGCATCATTAATTCAATGAGATTGTGTAATATAAGGTGAAATACTTTCAGAATGTGAAAGGCAATCAATAAACATGTATGTAATAAATGCGTATGAATAGGTTTTCTTTCATGTCGATTAGAAAATTATAACTTAATAACATTCTAAAAGAGAAAGATGAATCACGGAAATGCTCATAGTTATTTATCACTTTTCTGGTTTCTATTATTTTTACAACAATTAAGATGGCTGACATTTTGTTTTTACTGATGAGTCACCATGAAATACGAAAAACAACTTGATCACATTGATAATGGCAATTCATCATCATATATATATTACCTTCCCAATAAAATGAAAAAAGGAAATAATGAAGCTAGGAGACAAAAACTTCAAGTTGACAAATCTTTATAACTGAACAACACATTGATTTAAAGATGAAAGAATCACAAGAGAATGATGAAGACCAGTGAAATCGTGCCTTAGATCAAAGGGTGCTGATAGTCAAAAAGTAGGTATGTATGTATGTATGCATTAAGCAGTAAATTGTTTTGTTTCATGTTGTTTCTTGACAATGCCTAATTTTGGTGCAATATTGATGGTTGACTCTGACAGATGAGCATACGGTGGATCTTGTGTACCATGCACAACAAGAATCCATTCAGTTAACAATACATAACCTAATGGATCTTTAGAATTTGGATCAAGTGCTATAATAAGTGACCAATTCCCTCGAGGATTTTCACTCCACATATGTGTAGTCATAAATGGCCATTTAGTGAAACCACGGGTATTATCTGTATCTTTAGGTCGTCGTCTTAATAGCATTGATGTTGTATTCATTGGTGAGGTTAAGAAAATGGTGACATCACCGCGTCTTGTTGCTCTGATTGTCAAAAATGCTTGAACATGTTCTAGATAATTCACCTATAAAAACAGAGATGAACACAATATTAGTCAGTAGAAGAAATAAAGTCTCAAGTATGCAATTAAATGGATATTCTAATACTATGAAATAAAAAAAACACATTTTTAGACTTGTTATCAAAAAGAATGAGCAACATTAAAGGATAGGTGCCACATTCAATTGACCTTGGGTTAGCCAATCAGATTGCTCAGCATTTACGTAATCTTCTTGGCAATTTTCATCCTAACTCTAAACTTCAATGCAAGATTTACCCTTAATCACAACCTTACCTTAATCGTACCCTAACCTTAACCCTAAATCAGGGTGAAACTCACAGCGACGATTATGAATAGCTGCAATTTGTAATGCAATTTGTTTTAGGGTCTATTATAGACAAGATTTCATTTTGATAAATCACACAGTGTTGTACAGTAATATTAACTGATGACCACGTTTCGAGCAAAATTCATTACAGCTCATAATCATATCAAGCCATTCACTCACACGACTTTTTACTTCATTTATATACATTAGTAAAACTGATAAACCATTTGAATAAAAATCAATATGTGATAATGTACATTCAGAAATAACAATATGAGTAATAGAAAAGATTTGTAACTCAGGTGGATGATTTGTAATTAATAATTAATTAATAGAAAACGGTCAATACATATCTAAAGATGGTTACCGGGAGACACAATTATATCATTCATGAAGAAATTTAAATCATTTCACTTTATCCTAAATACTGCGCTGAAGATGTCGTCCAAAAAGACGATGAAAGCTCCGCAACTAAACCAACCAACTCAGAGGACACCATTAATTGCAAATAATAATATGAGTGTTATTGATCAGTTGCAATCAGATGGGAAATAAGACGAGTGTTTTTATAGTCAAAATGCGTAAATTGTTAAAATGTTATGATGACATTCTAATCTTAGCTAAATTCTTATGTTCCACCAATCTCACTACCCCCGACCTGCTAGTTTGACCTACGTAGTTGACCACATTCACAGTCATTGGGAGGAATTTTGTAAATTATATTATTTTGTCTAATTGGGTCCACCGGGTCTTTTAGCCTAGAGAGCTTATGTCTGAGTGAGTTTGTAGGTTTGAATGACACCTTAATTCCTGTGTTTATTGAGAATCCTACATAGAGCCTCAGATGTTCCATACTTCATCAGTTAATATTACTGTATAACACTACACTGTGTGATTTATCAAAATAAAATCTTATCTGTAATTCAGTTATACTGTACCACAGTGCTCAAGTTGTTTTAGGGTCGTTTGGCTTTCCTGTCCATTCTTTACTCTCACCAAAGAATGTATTGGGAACTATTATGCAGACTCACTAACTAGCTAGTCTACATCTTGGTGAAAAGTGACAATATTCCCTTTTGGCAATAGAACTCAAACCAAACAGTGTATGTCAGACTACCGACGTAAGATAACAGAACCAAACTATTATCTGCGTGCCAATTCCTTGTCTACAGTACAGTATATTCACCTTGGCTCATTGCAAAGTTGAAGTCAAACGATCTCAGTCTTTAAAATATCCCTGCTCAATGAAAAATGAAGTAGTGAAGGTTATTTAAGAATCAAGCCACAAGCACATGCGAACCAAATTCGACAGACGAGCAGTTTCAGGCTGGTATAACAACCACCATCTTATTTTCTCTCTGGATGTTTGGCTCCACCAGACTGCTTACCATCACTTCCTACTTAAGTAGAAAAGCCACGTGGGTACCAGTGAGACAAATGACCATAGGGAACACACATCAACTATTCTAAAACTGAGTTAATTTGAAGCTGTAACGACTGAGACAGAAGATCAAGCACTTGTCAAATAGCTTGACCAGATTCTTGGGAACATTCAAAACATAACTGATTATGTAACGTAAACTAATGAGGTCAGTTCCACGTTATCAAGGCAACATTGTAAAATGACACCCCCCCCAGTAAAAGAAGTGATAAGAATTCCATTTTATGGAGCTAATCTACAGAAGATCTCAAAAGTTAAACAGAAAACTCGCACTTAATTGGTGGATGGTGACTAGCAGTGGAATCTAGGACAACGCGCATTTCTTCCTATTTGGGACTCGTCAGCCAACTGGATGTACCTGCATTTCCCAGTGAGTGATGATGTTCCCAGCAATTAAATTCTAATTAAATGCCTAGACATTGTCGAAGCATTTGCACAAGAATCCGACATGTCAATCAATCAAGGGAAAATCTAAAATTTAATATAGAAAAAAGAAAACTCGTACATTTTCCTGTAGTACTGTATGAACCTTCTTAGTAGCCTAAGAATTTTCAGGAAGGTGTCATTTATTTGTAATGTGAATCAGTGATTGACTTTCTATACATACTTGTAGAATTTTACGATATTTTTCCCATACGCCTATTTGTGTTTCTTTGTTTCATAATTCAGAAGTAACGTACAATTCCTTACACCTCAGGATGTAACCATTGGAGCTGAGATGAGTTCTCCGAGATAACTATCTTAGAAACAAGATCTTGCAATCATATTCTAGTGTGGTGAGAGCAGCCTGCTAGCCAGTTGGTTGACATTAATCTACGTCAATGTCTAGGTCACTAATATGGGCCGTGAGAAAATATGAACACGGTTGTTTCAACAACAACCAATCACAGCAAACTTAAACGTGGGCAAATATGATTCGCAGATAGATGGCTCCACTTTCCGAGGAACTCGAAAACAACCAATCAGAGGACTGCGTTCGCCTACTTGACTAGGCTATAATAATGTATGTGAAATTTATATAAATACGTGTTGATTTCCGTAATAAAACGATCTGTTGCCTGGCCCTTGTCTTCTGTTGTTACACTAGATATTATTATTTAAACCGAAAACACATGATGTGGCGAGTGCTACTGATACGATTTATCAGTAGTATCTATATAAAGAGATTTTCATCGGCTTAAAAAAAACATCAAATAGCAGGGAGATAGATTTGATGTCAGAGAAGGCAAATGATACAGCTTTGTGAAGATACATGGAAGACGTGAAAAGAACACAGTGAGAAGAGCAGAAGTACCACCACACGAAGATCCGTGCAAATGGTGCGCTGAAGATAAGATATACAAAGGTTGCCCATAGAGCTACACCAATTTCCTATCAAACCTTCGTTCACCAGCTCTTCGTCTTCTAGCCTCATAAAGAGAATTATTCCTCTTGAATATGTATTAGGATCATTGAACAATTCATCTCCAGTTGATGGTCATAAAACTGTGCGTCGGTGGCACAGTGGTTAGGACTCTCATCGACCATGCACATGGTCCGGGGTTCGAGCCCACTCCGACGCACACCTGATATCTATGGTTGGCCTGCAAAATTTGGGCTACCGATATCCATGCTGAAAATTCCATACTTGCACCAAAAATACAGTATGGAATCAAGCTGTAAATCAAAAAAAAATACTTCACTTTTATTGACTACTGCTGCTTCGCATTGGTGGATTACATATATATCGGCGGTGACAAGTACAATTAGGGTGTAGCGGGTCGGGTGTGAGGACAAATACTCGCCACTGAAGACATTGGTTAAGGGTCGCGCTATGTCGCGAATTGGCAGAAGTTAGAAATCATGGAATGTCTAGCCATTGGATTGGGTCCCGGTGGCTGCTGAGTGGTCTACGAGCTCGCCTTGTAACAAGAAGGTCCTGGGTTCGAACATCCTGTGGTGGGTGCGTACTGATGAAGAATCCCAAACTAGAACGAAACAGCTGTCCAGCACTCCCAACTGGTTTTCCAATGGTTCTCTAACTAATGTCAGCTCATGATGAAATCCTGTAACCAATTAAATCCATACAAAACCAACACTTAAATAACAATTATTATTATTGTTCGTTTTGACTAATGACATATCATCAGATTTCTGAACATCATCATGCACAGTGGTTAAATAAGGAACAAACAAATTCCATTCACAGAGCTATTCTCTCTCTTCTTGTGGATACAGAACACAAGATTCATGTTAACGATGCGGCTTTCAAAGTTATCTACCGCATACCAAATAATCTTAACTTCAGCCTAAGAGTTCTTCTACTACTTATTTCTGAGGCCGCTGGGGATCCGTATTAACAAACCTAACTTATGCATCTAAAAGGAGCTGATCCAGACACTGTCCTTACCTTGGCTGTGAATCAAAGTTCTAATGATCCTCAATTTGTTGTAGAAATTTCCTTAATTTCATTTGATATTGTATTTGCTATTGCAGTTTTATGATTATTATAATTTATGCATCCTTAGTGAACTGTAATTCTATTGATCTTACTTTAAAAATTGGTATTATTTAAAAAACACTAATATTGTTATTGACTACTATTCTAGAATATTCTTTGTATGTAAACACACATATTCAAATGAACTGTCGTCAAAATTTGACAGAATAGTTCTAAAATATTTGGGTATCGAGTGAGAAGTAGACATTTGTAAAAAATTATATTTATAAAATCTCAGCGAGATTGAAATGAGTAATTCCAACGTTTCCTACGTTCGGCAATCTGGTTCGAACTTCTTCAGGGAAATTAATCGAAATTAACACAACAGAGGTTTATGTATATAAAAGGAACATCTTTTGTTTTTAAAAAACTTTGTCCAATCATGAGTCATAAAGCAAGTATCAACAAGTATAATAAACAAAATTGTATGAGTTGTGATCAAAATTTGACCTGAGACTTACAAATATTGGTCTACCTTTGTTAAACACTTTGAACACAGTGTGTATGTGTGTGTGTGTGCGGATAAACAGTTGTAAAACAATGTCTTAACGTCTCCATAAGTAGATATAGACAGTCGGGAAACTTTGACCAAGTATTACTAGTTAGTGATACATATCCATTCTTATTTATTAATCAGGATTTCCTATGCGTCAACTAACATCACACCTTCATGTCTGTTCAAACTGTTAGTATCTAGAATTTTATGATTAGACGTATTTTCAAAATTATGGTGTTTAGGATTAGAGTTTAGTTGAAGCACCCTGTCAAACTTATTA